CGTTTTTGTTGGCCGTGTTCGGCCTCTTGGGGCCCTCGCAAGGCCTCGGGAGTGTCAAAAACTACTCAGGACGAAAACCCTGCCCTGGGGAAGTGGTCTGGACCTCCTAGGCCCACGCATCGAATGAATTGGAGCAGCCTGATGTCTGTGGCGACTCGGAAGGAACCAGAACTACCTGGACCTCTCCAAGGGCGCATTCTGAACAGGACTTCGAAGCCAATCTAGCCGCGGCCACGAGGAACTCACACAAGGCCCACAAGGGCAAAAACGGGGCAAGGGCAGCGTCATCGGTACCTCTCGTTGGCGGCGCGCAGAGGGGGGTAGGGGGAGGAGGGAAGGTTTCTTAGTAGGGGGGCTGCTTCTTAGAAGGCGCCGGCCTTACATGTATAGGGAAGGCCCGCGCCTTCTAGGAAGCGGAGGTGCTTCTGAGAAGCCTTCCCCCTCCCCCACACCCCCCTCTGCCCGTGGCGGGCCTCTCCCTCCCACGAGATGTGCTCGCACGTCTTTGCCCCCCCCCCCCCCCTCCCCCTTCGCTGTGACCATCTCGTCGAGCCAGCGCTCGGCCTTCTCGGGGTCACCGCCGCGCGCGTGCGCCTCCACGGCGGCGGAGAGGCCTGCGCCGGTGGCCGGGTGGCCCGCCTCGGGGCGGGGCGGCGGGGGGGGGTGGGGAGCGTCCCTCCAGCGTGCGGCCCAGGTCGTGGTGACGATGGTGCTGACGGTGCTGGTGGTGGTGATGCTGGTGGTGGTGCTGATGCTGCTGCTGATGCCGACGCTGATGCTGACGCTGATGGTGGTGCTGATGGTATGGTGGCGATGAATGTACGATGACATCTGATGGCGAGTACGGTGATGATGACGGTGGTGATGAAGGCCAGTATTCTGATTATGGCGACGGCGATGCCGATAATGATTGCGTTGGCGATGGCGGTGACGATGATGATGGAGATGAGTATGGTGATGGTGATGGTGATAGTGGTGGAGATGATAATGATGACGATGATGATGATGCTGCTGCTGCTGCTGATGATGATGATGATGATGAGGAGGAGGAGGAGGAGGAGGAGGAGGAGAGAGAGAAGAAAGAGGACAGGATTGGGCTGGGCGTCCCCGGAAAAGTCCCAGATCCTCCCCTAGCCACTCCACAAAGATGGGAATGAGAACGAGGAGGAGCAGAAGCAGTAACAGAAGGATCAGGAATGGGACGAAGCGGGGGACGTGGAGGACGTGGAGGGAGAGGGCTTCAGGCAACATGGCTTTTGGGGCACCTTAACACTGTAACAAGGGGCAAGGCGAGGCAAGGCGATGCAAGTCAAGGTTCTGGCAGCCAACAAAATCCGCGCACCTCTTCTTCTTCCTCCTCCTCCTCCTCCTCCTCCTCCTGCTTATCCTCCTCCTCCTCGTCCTACTCCTCCTCCTCCTCCTCCTCCTCCTCCTCCTCCTCCTCCTCCTCCTCCTCCTCCTCCTCCTACTCCGCCTCCTCCACTATTATGTACGTTTCCTCCTCCTCCTCCTCATCCTCCTCCTCTTCCTCCTGCTCCGCCTCCTCTCCCTTCTCCCTCCTCGTGTCTCTCTCTCTCTCTCTCTCTCTCCTCCTCCTCCTCCTCCTCCTCCTCCTCCTCCTCCTCCTCTCCTCCTCCTCCTCCTCCTTCCTCCTCCTCCTCCTCCTCCTCCTCCTCCTCCTCCTCCTCCTCCTCCTCCTAGCCGCCATGAGGAGCTCAGGAGCGTGTTCGGCCGCGCCGCGCACATAAGTTCCCCCCCTCGGCGCGCTTCGCCCCCTTCCGATAGAGAACGCGGCCAGGTGAGGAGGAGGCACAGAGAAGGACAGGGGGAGAGAGCGCCAACATTTTTATCCGCTCACCGTACTTCGTGTTGCACGTTGCATGTCTTGTGTGATTGCTCCTCGACCTGCTACTTTCGGACGAGCGCGAGTCGTCTCGTTGGCCTCGCTTTTATTCGGTGGGAGAGGCGACAGGTTAAACAAAAAAGTACGTGTCTTTGGAACATTGATTATTTCAGCACAAGTGCAGTTTGCATCACCCTGACAAAATGAAGCGGCAACCGGAATAACGATTGATTAGTCTTGGAAGTGAGGTTGAAAGATCCCGATCAGACCTTGACATGATACGACAATTCATCGAATCGAGCAGAAAGCACGTTGAAATCATCTCTGCAAAGCACGACCCCGATGGGCTGGATTGCGTTATGGAAGAACAAAGACACAGCGAATGCATTCAAGAATTCTGGGACAGATCCAAAAACATCAAAATGACGAAACCACATGTCCCAAGCTTTATTGGGTTCCCTATCCTTGCCATTTGCGACGATACAACGCAGCCCAAAGAGATTCATGATTCATCTCGCGCGGGAGAGGCCTTGCTGGATACCAGATACCAAATTTTGGATGAAGAAGTCTGCTTTGCAGCATCCAGCATTGACCGAACACAACTTGAAGAGCTAAGTGATACATGTCTTGAGCTGTCAGAAACGCCTGGGAGGAAGAAGGAACATGATGCTGAGCTGGAACAGATGTTGACGAGCTGTTGGGCGCTTTTGCAGACACCGAGGAAGCAAACAAAATGGACCGTCTGACAGAACAAGAAACACATGCTGCTGATGCAGTGTTTCATGTCTTGGGGGAACCTTCGGAGGCACCGCGCTGTGCCGAACACAGGTCTCACGAGTTACGTGGTCTTTACACACTGGCCGACGTCATCCATGCACTGACTAGTTGGACACACACCTTGGAGTCATACGGCGAGACGGGGATTTGTGTACACCTGCGATGCCCAGACAAAGAAGCAAACGGCGCGCAGTTGCCGCGCCGCCACCTGTTCATCAGAGCGCCGGCTGGACACACTGGTCGACGTTGTCCATGCATTGACTAGCTGGACACACACCTTGGAGTCATACGGCGAGACGGAGATTTGTGTACACTTGCGATGCCCACTCCAGATTTCGTACTAAAGGGAGGGGGGACCCATTTCGGGGGGGGGTCTCTTCCAGGCTCTCTTGGAGGGCCTGGGGGGTCTGGGGACGATGTTTTGGAGGGTTCTCCCACGGGGGAGGTCTGAAATGGCTAGTCTTGGAGGGTCCTGACCCCCTCCCTTTTATTACGAAATCTGGGGGCCCAGCTAAAGAAGCAAACGGCGCGCAGTTGCCGCGCCCTCACCTCTTCCTCAGAGCGCCGGCTGGCTCCGCTCGATCGGCCACCCCACGGGGCCCTCCTCGGACGGTGGAGCGCCTGCAGACGTGCCCGCGACTGCGCGTGCACGATGTGCCTCTCCAGGGGCTGAGCAGGGACCGACCGCCCCGGCAGCCCTGTAGTCCTACCGCGACATGTTCTTAGAACCCAAAGATGTGCTAAGAACAAACACACAATGTTCATAGAACATGAGCCCGATGTGATAAAAATAGGACAGCCTCCGCTAGAAATGTTTTGAGAACATTTCGAGGAAGCCACAAACGGTTCTTAGACCATTGCTTGGTAGGGCTATAGGCACGCCAGGACGCTCCGCCACTGCTTGCTCCAGCGGGCCCCACGCCCAGGAGGCCTGGACCGCCCCCCCCCCCCCCCCCTCCCTGCCGCCCGCGGGTTGGCAGCCCCAGCTTCCCCATGCCCTCGGGCCTCGATTGGTGGATGGCTTCGGGCCCCACCCCTCGAGGAGGGCGGGGAGAAGTAGGGGGCCAGATGCGAACCCTACCCCTACCCCCCACGATTTCTGGGTAGGGTTTGCATGTGGCCCCCTAATGAGGGAGCGGAGGGGGCTGCTAGGTCTCGCCGCCGTGCCGCCTCCCAGGACAGCGTTTTGTCGGTGCTCTCCCTGGGGCGCGTGGGCCGGCCTCGTCTGAAGTGACGGGGTGGCCGGCGCCCATATCCCTCGCAGGGGCCACCGAGCTCTCAAGCTCAGAGGCGACGACCCACAAGCGCCTGCCTTGCCTTGCCTTGCCTTGCCTTGCCTTGCCTTGCCTTGCCTTGCCTTGCCTTGCCTTGCCTTGCCTTGCCTTGCCTTGCCTCCTCCTCCTCCTCCTCCCAATTCGAAACACTTTCTAAGAGCAGGCATATTATGATAATAGCTAAATCCCGAGCTACCCCATAGTTGCTTTGGTCCCTCGTGGCTACTTCATGCGTCGGTCGCTGCCTGGGTCAGGCTGGTCCTGCTCGGGACCTTAGCTGCGACCCTGGTGCATAGAACATGGAATATGCACCGTCCTCTTAAAGCTAGAGGTTCACTGTGCCAGAAGCCATTCGGAGTTGTCTGGAATGTCTCGGCTCACGATTGCGAAGTTTTGCGAAAGCTCGAGTGCAGGAGAACTCACACAGACAGAAACAAATTGGCACCGAAGGTGTGCGAATCAAATCGAGACTCCTCCTCCTCCTCCTCCTCCTCCTCCTCCTCCTCCTCCACTTCCTCGCTCCTCCTCTTCCTCCTCTCCTCCTCCTCACTCCTCTTCCTCCTCCACCTCCCCTCCCATTCACCCTCCTCCTTCTGCCTCCCGCTCCTCCTCGCTCACTCCTCTGCCCTCTTCTCCCCCCCCTCTCCTCCTCTTCCTCTCACTCCTCCTCCTCCTCCTCTTCTCCGCCTCCTCCTCCTCCTCCTCCCACTCCCCCTCCTCCTCCTCCTCCTCCTCCTCCTCCTCCTCCTCCTCCTCATCCCTCCTCCTCATCTCTCATCATCATCATCATCATCATCATCATCATCATCATCATCATCATCATCAAGCATCATCATCATCATCATCATCATCATCATCATCATCACATCATCATCAGTCATCATCATCATCATCATCATCATCATCATCATCATCATCACCCACCTTCCTCTTCCTCCTCCACCCCCTCCTCCTCCTCCTCCTCCTCTCGTCCTCCTCCTCCTCCTCCTCCTCCTCCTCCTCCTCCTCCTCCTCCTCCGCCTCCTCTCCCCCAGCCTCCCCTTTACAGTTACTCTGTACCACTGCACATTACGAATGCCCCTGATGACGGGTTGGGAGTGTCGCCCCCCCCCCCCCCCCCGCGTGCTGTTTTTTTACACACAGGATTCCCCGGAGTTGGGTTTTCGCATGCATTTTTTCAAAATGCTGCTCTCGCTGAGGCGCCGGCCTCATTTTCGGGCCCCGCTCGTTCCGAATCGTGCTCCCGCTGCAGCGCTGGCCTCATTTCCGTGCTCCCGCTCGTTCCGAATCGTGCTCCCGCTGCAGCGCTGGCCTCATTTCCGCGCTTACGCTCGTTCCGAATCGTGCTCCCGCTGCAGCGCTGGCGTCATTTCCCGTGCCATGCCACGGCATGCAATGCAATGCTAGGTTGCGTTCCGCTGCGCGATGCCATGCCTTCAGCTGAAGCTGTGATATGCAGTGCTTAAGTGCCACGTCGTGCTATACCATGCTACGCTTTGATCTTCAACGCCATGCTATGCAATGTTATGTTCGGGGCCGCTGTGCGATGCCATGCTTCGCGTTGCAAAGCTTTGTGATGCAATTCTTCACTACGCCACGCCACGCATGCTGTGACATACTACGCTTTGCGGTGCTCTTCTACGCCATGCCATGCCGTGCTCTACAATGCATCGCGTACCCTTTCGGGATCATTGCCCTGCTCGACATCCGACTGTGCGAGTAGAGAGGGGATCTACGCCATGGTA